ACGGCCAATGAAGCAACAATAGGTATGATAATAGAAATATTTTAATATCTGAATGGTATATCCCAACACATCAACAGCCTATAAGTGTCCACTGCTGACCAAAGGCCTCTTATCACACGATGACACGAATAAGGTTTGAGGATTTGCTCAATGTGGGTTGGTGACTGCAGACTTATAATTAGAAATTATAAGCCCAGGGTTCTTTACGATGTTTTCCTTTACCATTTGTTAGTGATGTCTAAATAATCTTAGAAACCGGCCTGATGCATGAGAAGCGGGCGTTTTAAGCCTCCGGGCCACCACGACGTACGAATGTTATATTTAAGAGCTCAATGAAGCTGTTATATATCATCGTATAAAATAGAGAACACAATAATATGTTCAGAATACGGTAGTTTCCAAGTTACAAGTCGAATTCAATAATTTGATAATATGAATTTTGTAGAAATTATATTTGTATCAAATATTATTTATAATTATTTTTCTTAAATAAGGTAGAAAAATTAATCAGATTTTGAGATTGTAATTACATTAAATATCAAATATTGTTATAGACTGCCTCGTTGGCCGAGTGGCCGCAAATGCGACTGCCGGGCAAGGGGTCTCGGGTTCGATTACCGAATCGGGCAAAGTATTACATGGTTTTAAAAAAAAAACTCAGTAGTAGCACAGAATCTAGAACTGGAAATAGGCCTGTGTAGTGGGTGTTACATTGTACAGTGGCATACCTACAGTGCACACCCTTTGAGGATATAAGGCGTGATGTTATGTATGTATATTGTTATAAATTTACTATAAGGACAAATACAGACCTGCCAACATGACGAAGACAAGTCGTGGCATGCCCAACACGTAGTCATCGCTCTCCAGCTTGAACAGTATATTCGGAGTCAAGTTCTCTTTGCCGTTTATCTGGAAACATTAAAACAATCTTATTTTCGTTTTTATTCAGTCACAATTAAATTGGTAACTGCAGTCATCATTTCGATCAGTCCTTTCAGGAGACCTAAATGTATATTTTTCATAGCAAAGATCATATCATTAAGAATTAATACATTAAACGCCATGGGGGTCACCGGTGACCGACATTAGCGGAAGATTTGCCTTCAACAGATTCTATTGGCAGTTTATTTTTTTTTTTAAAGAGTAACCAATGGAGTTTCTTGCTCGTTCTTCTCCACTCGAATCGACATTTTGGAACGAGCGCCTAGCTTCAATGACGGACAGACTATTATTTATTTCATATTTGTTGACGTTTCAAAAGTACCAAATTATGGTTTAATTGAAATAAATGCTTTTGAGTTGAGTTGAGTTGAGTCAAACCATTAGGATTCTTGCTTTATTTATTTTATGTGACAAAATGTGCACTTGTAACTTTTATGACAAGACTCTGCCTTGAAAGCGCCTAGCAAACTTAGAATCAAATTTATATCTATTAAATTAACAATAACAAGGTAAAAATACAAATATTGCAGCATTATTGTTCTTCTGTAATCTTTACCTCTAACTAAGATTTAAGAAACTCACCACAATATGCTTCTGTTTCGTGATATATCCATTCACAGACGCGCTGGCAACGACCTCCTTAGCCTTATAGTCCAGTGGTAGAGCGAGGACATATCGTCCTGAGGCGTCACTCTCGTTCTTAGCTATCGGAGACTTCGCGCCTAAAGGTCGAATGTCCACTGAGACCGATGGTAACGGCACGCTGTTGCGGTCTAGAGTCAAACCTGGGAATATTTTTGTTCAATTATTTATAGTGGTTTATTAAACATAAGATTTAATAATAAGACCTCAAAAACTAAAAACAAACCAAAGGTAAAAAGTAAAACTATTATTAGTTTTACGTACTGATAAGTTACCCACCCACTGATTGGTAAGAAGTCGGTGCTACAAGCACCTAACAAAACACTAGATTTTTTGAAGTCGATAAATTGATAATGTAGTTTATACTTAGTTTATATAATTATGCTAGAAAATGAACTAATAAGAAGTGAGCAGGTAACATAGTTAAAAATATATTGATTAATGGGCCAATTGTCAGTTCTAAACGAAGTCGATTATAAGCCCCGATATAGTTGAAAGTGATCGAGCACCTTCAAACAGTTTATAAACTATGAGGAAGTTTTATATTCAAATCAATACCTCAATTATGTAACAGTGTTTCACCTCTATAACTTTTTGTACTCACCAGTAACATACACGACGTTCGGGTTGTCATCTACCTTGACCTCAGCGAACTGTCCTCCAGGAATAGTGTCGGAGTCCACGCGACGCATTATTATGTCCTTACTCTTGAGCACGCCTTCCACTACCGACCATACTAACATCTGTAGGACAATTAATATATTAGGAATGTCAGGGGGTCTGCGGACAACCTTGCAGGTTACCGGCTTGGAGCTGGAATAGAACCAGGGTGGTATTTAGTCAGTAGGTTTCAACACTTTCTCACCTCACCCAACGCGGGAGAAGTGATTGGATGATTTTGAAAAATACTTAGAGGAATTCCATGTAAGTCAATCAGAATCAAGATAAATATCATAAATTCTCATGAGGGATATTATTAAGTAAAATCGCGGGTTACTCACGTGAATATACTGAGAAAAGCTCTACTAGTTTCGAACCACAGAGGGGTTCTTCCTCATGAGCAGCGTGCGCGGTCGCGGCGACGTCGCCGCCGAAACTAGTAGAGCTTTTCTCAGTATATGTCTCACGATAGGGATATTATTATTAAAATTAATAATACATGACAGTCCGCTGCAGGACTCTCTACATAAGAGGGTTTGCTGGTTATCTCTAGAGTTGGCAGGCGGATTGGAGATTGCAACTCAAAAGGTTTAGGTTTATCAGAGAGCAGAGAGCACTGCTACCCGCCTCTGTCGGATGTATAGCTTCTTAGTCAGCTCTTACGGTTCCCGCGGGAACAGTAGGGAGTACTTTACCGTCATACTTCATTATACTCTCACTCAAGTAATTTCTGAAATAACATAATATTCCTCTAACTAATACAATTTCTCTCACCTGATCCTGATAATTATGGCACCGTACAATAACCCGGTAGACGCCAGGCGGCAACATGATGCGATAGTGTGCTAGATTGCGAGTCACTCGATACTGTCGCTCTACGCCCGTCACCGCTACTATAGCATCGCGCATTGGGATACCTTCCTCGTTCTTTATGTAGCCTACGACACCTGTAGAATAAAAATAGTAAAATAAATATGAGAAATCGTTGTTGTAAGTGTAAGATAAAATTCGATATTTCTCAGGATATTTTCAGGTTTGATAACGCGAAAGTACCGTCTAGAAATGTCAAGGTAATTGCTATACCACGCAGACTGTAAGCTTCGTTGCCACTTTAATGGTACCTACTTAAAATAAAAATGTACCATTCTGTTTCTTCATTATGCTCTTGGGTGTGAAAACGTATCAAACCGACTAAAACACACAATCTAAGATTTTTTGCAAAACATGAATGAATCTTACCAGTGTTTGCCAGCTCAGCAAATTTCATGATCCCTCTGAGATTGCTTCTCCAAACCCAAGCAATGTCTTTGTCCATCGGCATCTTACAGCAACTGAGTCCCGCAGATATGACGGGCGTATTATACCGTTCATATAACACATCTATTAGATCCTCATGTTTCACTCCAGCACCCTTACACTCATACCTGTCCTCAGTAACCCTGCTATCCTGGTACGTCTTAGCAAACTTCTCGAATATATTCTTGGATAACTCCGGATATTTCACGTCTTCTGACCCAGAAGCAAGTTCTAGAATAACATCATATTTCTCAGCTTCCAGCATATTCAAGAAGGAGATTTCTCTGCTGTAGTTTGAAAGAGGATTTAAGTCTTTCTTTGTTAGGTAGGCGTATAAACTGTCTCCAAATTCTTCTTCTAAGGCTTCAATGTCGCATTTATCAGTTTGATCATATTGTTTTACGATTTTGTCTGATAATGCATCTATGTTTGGTATGAAGTGTAGCACTGTGTTTTGGAGAAGGCGCTTGTGCACTGGCTCTCCGATCGTGTAAGCCGTGCCGATGTGACGAGCGAAGTTCAGTAACATTTCTTGGCCTAAAGGCTGAGAGCCGTAAAAACTGCTCATTATGGCGATGTGGAATTTGGTTTCTTCTGGTGAGCCGACCTGGTGAAAATATTACTTTGATTAGACTAATAATTCCTTAAATGTATGTATTACCAACATTGGAATAGTATTTATTAAAACTTCGGTATTGATAAATAAGACAAAAAAAACTAAAATATTTTTTTACAATCCAGAATTGGCAAAATAACATATATTCTTAGATTGTCACATTGGATGCCGTTAAAAAAAAACTCAAAAGCATTTATTTCAATTAACTCGTCGAGTACCGGTTTTGTAGACACAATTATAGAACAATAGGTTGCGGTCACTGGTGACCGCTTGGTGTTTGACAGTTTAAACCATAATTTGGTACTTTTGAAACGTCAACCGTGTCAGACAATGATGACCGACGCCTCCGGAAGATTAGCCTTTAACAGTTTTTGTCGGCAGTTAAACTTTAATATGTAAAACTATCTACTAAAAGTGTTAGGGCAATGCTACTACGGTAACTGATCGATAGGATTATCAAGAAATCTCAAAGCTACTCACATCATCAGTCATCTTGAGCTGGTGGAAGGTAGAAGTAAGCATGCTGTCTCCGGCCCTAAACTCCGCGATGCTTGGGAACCGGTTCTCCAGCTCAGACAGTGCAGCATACATCTCCAGCCGCGTGTGGTACCGAGTGTTTATTACGTTGTCCAACACACTGTAGTACAAATGGTGGCTCAAATACTGGCACAAGATTTTATAGGTACGCGTAAAAGTTCTATCAATTTTTTTATAGTGATTTCTTACATGATTGTTTCATTACGGTGAGTATCAACAAACTATGTCGATAGATTAAGTTATAAGAGATAGAATGTTGTGTACAATAACTATGTGTTCGTGTGTGTGCCATTAAGTGCGCTTGCGTTGTTTTGTCGTTTGAGTGAGGTAACCTGAGGCACAATTACCCCCCCCCCCCTTCCCTCCCCAATCCCTGAATCCACAACAATCCTCAAATTTATAATCCCAAAAGACCAGTAATGCACGTGTAACGCCTCTGGTGTTCTAGGTGTCCATGGACGACGCCGATTGCTTACCATCAGGTGACCCGTCTGAGTTAACCGGCTTATACCATAAAAAACTGTAGGTAAACAAATAGCAGTATTTTTACATTGACTTTTGTCCGAATATTGAAATGCCACTCAATTTTAGTCGCGCTTAAATATAGTTCAACAAATTCATTGTAAAATGACAGGGACGGCATGATATTTAAGTACACCTTAAAAAAATTAGAAGGCTTTCAGTATTCGGGTGAAGGAATGTGAAACATTAAATTTGATCAAGATTCGAAAAACAAACGACAAACTGCATTAACAGCTCTTGGAAATTTTAACCAATGAGCGTTCGTATTGTATCGTAGCTGTATTAAATGAATTCTCAATACGCTTTTCTACAAAATACTATAGGTACTTGTCTCATTGGTTTTTCAAATCTTATTACTTTCTATAATAACATATATTATTGGTTATGTTTTAAATCTAACTACAAAACGTGCAACTGTATTATGGTGGACCAACTATATTATGGATGGTGACTCGACCGCACAGTCAAACCATTGCAACGGTTTTGTGGGGCTTCAATTATAGCATACTCCTGTGTGATTTAAAGATAAATAAATAAAAATAACTAGGAAACGAATGTGCGTGATGTAGTATTAGGATGACCCAAGTACTTCTAATGATTCATTTTTATTTAATAAATGGTTGTTCAAAAGAATCTATAATTTTCGGACTTTATGAGTATACCTACAAAAATGTTTACTAAATTATTTTAATATAAGTTTACCTGAGTATATAGAGCATTATCGATAAAGTATCGATAGTTCCAGTCTTTGTAACATCACTTTTTATCGATATAATCGATAAAATATATATCTTATGAAGAGATAAGTTTGGATACTTTCAACAAACATGTTCTTTGGCCATTATGCCAGATTAATTTGATTTTGTGTTTTAAAAAATAAAATATTGTGTCAAATATCTTCTTGTATGCATACCTAAAGCGCGTTACAGCGATATCAGTTAATAACTATAATACAATTTAAGCTTTATTCTTTTGAAGTAAAGTCAAAAATCATACACCGTTAAATTTGAATCGTTTTAATCCCTTGGAGGTTCGAACTGGTCCATGAAACACTATCGATTTGTAAAGATAAAATTAAAAAATAAAGTACTTTTTTTTTAATAACTCGAATCAATTCTCGCATGAGTGAATAAATAATGCGAACCGTTAGTAGGCAGCATTCCTATCAGTAACAACCTAACAACATTGACGCGGTCGCTGGTCAACGTGGACTCGCAAACATCAGTTGATCGAGTCAATAGCCGCCGTGTAGGTACCTACACTGCCCGACTGTCGACGATACGCAACGACCGACGACGACGTAGGTAACTATCTCGTGGCGCAACTTTTGGTTTCATACATTTTGCGAGTATAATCTTATCACTTGCTAATTTATTTATTTTTTTATGTTACACCGCAGTACAAGCTTGTAATGAGTAGTATTCTGTTAGTTAAACCACAGGTCCATGGGATTAAAACGACTAAAATTTAACGGTGTATAGCATAGAAAGACTAAAGTAAATTAATGAGCTGGCGCCACAGTTTATGCAATAAACAACACAAAAACAACACAATAGCGTGCAAATAAATTTATTAATAAAGATTAAGCGACATTCATACATTGCGACATAAAATAAACTAATATTAAAAACTACTGTTAATAACTCAAGCCGTAAGAAATTAGAAGTAAGAGTAAACATAGAAAATATCATAAAAGATAGTCTAAAACTATATTGTTAGGTTACCTAAGTAATTTTGCCCTTATATTCTGAAATACTGATCAACATTAAGTACTTTACCTACCAAATCTTATATTATATGCTTTAGAAAACTTTAATTCTGGGAAAATTGTAAATTTGTAATAACCAACAACATTTCAATTTTTGTAACAAACATTGTAAGACATACAAAGTTAATTAATAACAACTGTTTACTCATGTCAAAAATTGAGTAAAATTCAACTAGTTTCGAGTCACAGAGGGACTCTTCTGCATGAGTAGCGTGCTCAGACGCGGTGACGTCACACAGCTTACTGATTTTAATTAGCTTTTCTCATCATCTCATGTGAGTAAACCAATGCTTTTATTTAACATTTTGAATGTTACTGAACGATAATTATTTTGAATGGACGTATTAACTAAAGATAACTATTTACACACGTAAATATACTGAGGAAAGCTCTACTAGTTTCGAGTAACAGAAGGACTCTTCCTCATGAGCAGCGTTGGCGTTCGCGGTGACATCTGCACGTATATTCATATAACACTATATTTACGTGAGTAAACTACTATTTTCAGTTAATTCAGTATGTTTCACGATAGTTATTGAATGGTCGCATTCCAATAATCGCTTATTCGAATAAGAGCTTATACTAACTATTATTTACCAATTAGGCTTAATATAAATGAATTGATCAGCTTTCAGAATTCAGTTAGATATCCAAAATTATTATTTGAAATCATCTCGTTTTCAAACGATTTTATTGTTCATAGTATACTTTATATTTTATAAAAATATTTTGTCACTGGAAATTAATGTTCAGTAAAAAGAAATAACAATAATAATGCAAATAATTTGCTATCCAACTTTTAAAAGTATTAAAAGAGTGCAAAATTGAAATCATACGAAAAAAATCACGCATAAAAATGTGTAAAATCACCGAAATTAATTTCAAACATTGTTCAAAAAACTATAAAATAATCTGAGATTCAACTTCCATAAAAATGAGACCAAAGCGACTTTCAAAACTAAAATAAATTTTATAAACGAACTATTTAATAAATCTCAAAAATATGACTATCTTAAAATTTCTCAAATTAAACTTGCTTATAGCAAAATATATTAAGTACATTATAGATATAAAATAAAAAATATGCTAGAAATGAGCGAAGTGCATTATAAATTATAATTAACACAGTGCTTTAAGATATTAGAAAAGGGTAGTTTCAACAAGGGATGTACTTGAAAAAGGATACAAGGTATAACATGTCCTTAATTTCTGAGTATTTGCGCAAAAGTGCGCAAAGAAGCGCAACGGTGCGCAAAGTTAGCTTGGTTACCAATTTTCTAAATGTATGAAGTACTAATTATCCTGATGTATTATAATTATAATATAACGATATCATATAACCTAAGTAATTAATTATTATTACACTTAGGATTAATTGCCTTAATTACCATAGTATCTAAATTGTTCTTTAACGTCTTTATTCGGGTAAATATTTATATAATATACATGGAATACCAATTTGATTGATTGGGAAACTAATTTAGACTTTGACTTTTGACCTTGTTTGGTTCTTTTATGTTCATACTTTCATGCACATTCATTGATTTATTCAATAATACATGCAACTTTTTCACTCCCTTATAAACACCCTTTAAAACCACCCCTATTGACACCACAAACATACAAACAAAAGAAAAACCACAAAACTACACCCCTTGTTCAACCACCCATAGAAACATTCACATTTACGCGCTTAAAATAAGAAAACATATAAAACATTGCGTCAAAGCGTCAAGAAAAGCATAATAACAAAACAAGACAAAGCAATATATGTCCTGTGTGTACCGTGCAAGGTTGGTTTTTGCACTTTCCAGAAGTCGTAGGCAGACGACCAATATCCTTAACATTGGTCAGAAAAGCATAAGACAAGACAAAGCAATTTGTGTCCTGTGGATATCGTGCAAGGTTGGGTTTTGCACTCACCGGAAGTCGTAGGCAGATGACCAATGTTGAGGGTCGTCGGCCATGAGAGTGAAGTTGACGCTGACTGAGCCTTCTTCGGGAACTGTTACTTGTTCTGTTATACTTTCATAGCTGGAGAGAAATAAATATATTTATGGATTAAATGCATGATATAGAATTTTGTTAATTCGAAGTTGAATTTAGATGGTCTTGATAACCGATAAGTCATAAGTTCTATTCCCAGGGTGGGTAAGGTAATATTCCAGAATCTTTGTTACTGTTGAGATGAGACAGGTATTCGACTAAAAAAAAATTCCAAATTTTATTATATCCGACATGCGCATTGAACCCAAGACTTCTTATTTAGCGGTCACATTAGCAGTTATTTGACCGACCGAGGCAGTCAAAGTACTGAATAAGTGACATAATAAAATCAAGCTTAAAAAACATCGGTCTACTGGTCTACTAGTCTGTCGGTCTTTTAGTCTACTCACCCGTGTTTAATAGCAGTAATATTATAAGTGCCAGGCTCCAACAGTCTCCAGTAGTCACCATCCTTGGCAGTTTTGACTGCGTGAGTTACACCTTCTACTTTGATAGTTGTATTCGCGAGTGGATGACCAATGTGGCTGTGGACGAAGCCATTTACACCGGTGTGTACCTGTAAAAATAATGGAGAATTAATATTCAATTATTTCAAAATGTGTCGTCGTGATGGCGGAGCAGAATATATTTGTATTCACCATCCCTACCTACTTAAAAGTGGGTGCCGTAACTTCGTAAGAGCTGATCAACCCATTAATGGGCAAATGGAAAAAAAAAGTTTGTCTTTAAATGTGTTTTATACTATAGGATATAATTTATTTATACTATAGGATTAAATACTCTAAACTATTAGGTGTTCTCAAATTGGCACAGTAACCAAAAGTGGATTAAGGAGCATCAAACAGAGTTCGTGTATTGGTACTGTCTGATAAAACGGAATCTATTAAATTGTGATCTCTAAAAAGCCTGCCAAACGTCGAGATTATGCAAAAAAAAGGACCATAGCTCAGTAGTTAATTGACATAAGCTGTTGATAGTGATGAGACACAAATCTGTATATCTTAAAATTGACGCCTGCCGTAAACCGGCTGCTTTCAAAGTGTGGGAGAGCCACGCTTTAGCACGAATGGGCCGGGTCGACCGGAGTGATACCACAGTCTCACAGAAAACCTATGTGAAACCACGCTTGCGTTGTATTTCGTCCGGTAACCTGACTTACACAGTGAGATTACTAGAGACCCAACTATCCCCCCTTCCCCAATCTCCCAAATCCCTGAATCCCCAACAATCCTCAAATTCTTAAATCTCCAAAAGGTCGGTAAAGCAGTTGTAACGCCTCTGGTGTTCCGGGTGTCCATGGGCGGCGCCGATTGCTTACCATCAGGTGATCCGTATGCTCGTTTACCGGATCATCCCATAAAAACAGCCTTTCCGATCACTGACTCAGTCAAAATTCTTATCTCTCTTTAATCAAATTATATTTTATTTTTAATTTTATATAACCAAGCCATTAATAATCTAAAAATTATTCTATTACCTGTTCAATAAACTTAAGCAGAGCCTCCTTGTTATCCTCCCAGTAAGTAGGCAGGTCCTCTGCCGGAGGGAACTTGAAGCAACCGAGTTCCAATGTAATCTCCATGTCATTCGTATGTAAGTAGTTCCAGTCTTGCATACCGCCTGCTAGTACGTACCTGGAATTCGGATATTAGACCTTATTTTAAGTAGTTATAAGGTTTATTTTGGTTGTATGTTTGTGGAGGTATATGCGTATTGGATTTGAGATCTTATTCTAAAGGTGTAGGGATGCATTTTATTTGAAACCTTCTTTTTCAATTTGTGAACACAGAATATTAAACCTTATTTTAAGAATCGTAACGTTTAAAATTGTAATTTTTGAATTTAATGTGTAGAAATTCACGAAATGACATTATATTTAGGCACGAAATTAGTATTTACCATTTAGCACCATTCGTAATGCCTTGAGGGAATTTTTCGCTGGGTAGATTCTTGCAGGGTTGTCCCAAGTGCATTTTATGATGAGCCTGGAAATAATAAATTAATTTTATAAATAATATTATAAATGCGACAGTTTGTGTGTTAATGTGTATATTTGTTACTCAATAACATCAAAACGGCTCAAGCGATAGGGATGAAATTTGGAACAGGGATAGATTATGGTCTAGAATTACACATAATATACTTTTTAACCCACGGTAACGCGGGCGACGCTGCGGGCAGAAACTAATAATGAATAATTGTGACAATTTGTTTTCGCCTGAGACTGCACTAGATTAGCAATCACACTTAGACCAACAAAGAATATATCTTGGTTGTGCAACATCAGTCGTTCACGCAATTCACGATTATCAGCTCCTCCGTGATTTAAAACTTGTCGAGCATCCTCGAACAAGGTAGACCGCGTCGCTAATATAGTAAAATTATTATTCAATACATTTTTTTAACTTACGTCGGAATAAGTATGAGCCAAATGCAAGAACACAGGGTTGTCCGGGGTCAGATATTCCAACCCGCTTTGCATGTCAGGGTTGCCATCATATGGGTAGTTGGCGACTAAAGCTCCTCCGTGAAGATTGGCAGACAGGACGAAGGGTTCAGAGAGGGACCAGTTCATCACGGCCAAGGTTTCTGGCTCAGGGATCTTATTGTCTGTAGTGTCACCAAATTGGTCAGGGAAGTTCCTGTTTAAGTCCACGTTGTGGGCGTTACTTCTGCCACGGAGACTGCTGTAATCTCCTGCAAAAGAAGAGACATAGGTATTTTAGACACATGTAAATGTTTTAGTAGCAAAAAAGCTATAACTTAACGTAGTCATCATTAGATCTCTTACTTCCAAGAATGGGTAAATAAAGACGTTCCATTCCTATATTCGTCTGAATATTTTGTCTAATCGAACTGAACTTTAAAAAACTCAATAAAATACTTTTGAAGCGGAGGGCATTTGGATTCTACTTAAATTCTCTGTTTAACGACCAAAAAAACAATGAAAGATAATAAATATGCATAATTATAATGAACCTTACCAATTCTCGCCTTCTCATATCCATCAGGGTTCATACTAGGTAGAAGGTGGATCCTGGTAGTATTAAGCATCTTCTGTATCCTCTGGTTGCCGCTCACGTACTCCTGGCACAGGTATTTGGCAAGGAGCAGGAGGAGCTCCTTGCCTATCACCTCGTTGCCGTGCATATTCGCTACGTATTTGAATTCGGGCTTGCCTGGAATGTGAAAGACGGGAAACTGTTATGGTTATCTGCAGAAGATGAAGATGAATGTGTAGGATTATTTTTTTGGATAATATGATACATACAAAACAGAGATGTCTTAAAAAGTACTTCTAGACCCGATGTTGGTTTCGGAATAGAAGGTTAAGCTCTACTATTTCTCCAGCCTTTACTTCAGCAGTAAAGGTCGAAATATAGTGAAATACGACTTTCTCAAATGCTGACGCAAAATACTGGCCGTTGAATTGATATAGCTAACAGAATTTTATAAATAAACTCAATAATTTACCTACAAATAAAAATAGATTATTATGACTGATCGTGTGACTTGCATACCTTTCTCATTTCTTCTCACTACATGAACTTCTTAATTCTAAGCATGGACTTCAAGACATAATAGTAAGTTCAATTTACCCGGCTTATGCATTCCAGGGTCTTGAGTAACTTCAAGCACATACAACTCCCTGCCCTCCACAGACTTGCCGATGCTGCTCAGCTTGGTGATGCGAGGATACTGATCATTCAGTTTCTTGAGGAAGGTCTCCATCTTCACATAATCGTGGTGAGTGAAGTCTACGGGGGAAATACCGTCCAGTTCGTGACGCGGCCACCTTGTATGAACTGGAGATTTGCCCGTGTTACTTATAAAACTTGGTTTTCCTGATGCCATCTTTGTTCTGTGTGTGTGTGTGTGTGTGTGTGTGTGTGTGTCTGTGTGCTTGCCATTCATTTTGTGTGTTTAGGTTAGGTTTCAGAGAAAAATGTGTTTGTCTGTGTGCTTACCGTTTGTTGTTTGGATTGAGTTTTGAAGAATAATTTGTAGATTCTATTGCAAGCAATGCGTTCTTTTGTTTTGTTCGAATATGTTGTTTTTGTGTATCAATATCAATTCCAAAATGTGTTAAGATTATTCGTATTTTAGAAGAAAAGAAACTTCAATTTGAAACTCACACCAAACGAAAAGTGTTGTAGGACACAAATTCATGCATTTAGTGTCTCCTATGACACTTTAGATAACTTAGTAGGTAAGTACTAATTCGTGTTTTTCTACGAGGAATCTGGGATACAATGTGAAAGGTGCTATAAGTGCTACAAAAGCATTTAGAAAGGGTACGGGCAAATCAGCAGGGCATAACAGGGCTGGAAAATCTCGACTACAATTATGACAGAAATCGATAAATTTCAACTTTATTACCGGAGGTGAAAGGTTGAAATTCCACTTCCATTTTCGTTATGATTTAGTGAGAAAATTTTGTCATAATTATTGTCGGGACTACCAACCTAGGACATTCAACCCAACCACCACTATACAATAATTAAAAAATAACAAAACAAAAAGGGAAAGTACAAGAAAATTAAGGATAAAATTGTCTGGAAAATAAAATAGGGAAAGAAAAGACAAAGCCTATAAGAAGTTAGATTCATTTATGAACATTAAATTATTTTTCCTTATTAGACTAGATATTTATTCAACTACATATATGAATATATATACAAAAAAAAATATGGATAAAAATATGAAATAGTAGGCAAACGAGCAGACGGACCACCTGATGGTAATCGCAACACCAGAGGAGTCACTGGTGCGTCGCGGCGCCTTTGTAAAAGAAATACTACATAATAATATTTTAACGTACTTATGTTATAACTGATCTGCAATCTCCAACTCGCCGGGAATAACTACCCAAATAATTGTAATGAGGGCCTAATGGGGGCGCTTTTGTGCTTACTCAATGGCGCAAATATAGAAAGAGCAATTTTTGTCCAATTGCGGCAGTTGTCAAATGTTGAACGTCCAATGGTGTGCCACTAGCTAATTCCCTATTGGACGAAGAACAAGATTATTATTAGCACCATCTAGTGAGCAGAAATACGGTTGACCCCATTGCCTATTGCTAATTATATCAGACTCTTCTAGGGCTACTAAAACTATAACTACTAGTCGACTAGAGAGAATACTTGTACGGCTTTGAACAATATTTTAGTGCGTTAACTTTAATAATTATATTATAAAATACGTTTAATAAAACTGACTTCGTCCCTCTCTGCTTTTGAAGTCGTTTAATTATTATACTAAAACCTTCTCTAAGTGTATCAAAAAATTTTCTGAACACCGCATCAAAATGACTTAAGTCGTATCGAAACGAGTACGCGTTCGGCACTCTGATTGGCCGGCGCCAATGAACTACCCAATCAGAGCGCCGAACGCGTCCTCGTTACGATTACTTTAAACGTAAAACAAACTCGTACTAAGGCCTCAGGTCAAACAAAGAACCTCGTTTTGTGAAGTCGGTTAACAAATAAATAATGTTCACTAAATGAATCTAACCACAATGAAGGATTCAATTAAAACAAAGCATTAGATTACTGTATACCTGTCACGTTTATTGCTCAATACAACAACTTATTTATACTTACTGTAAACCTTAATTACTTGTCAACTAAGTTCATTATAGAATGACATGTTTTCAAAATTCAGCTGCAAGGGAAATTATAGTGTAGAGCTTTAAGATAAAGTTCTTAATAGTAAAGCAAGTTATTGACATTTTTGGGTTAAAATATAAATGTATGTATTTCGTTAGTAATAAATTTTATACACCGTTTTTTAATATTTTAATGTGTAACTATATAATACATATAGATATAGATTATATTTATTGTAACTTTTGTGAGGTATGTCTCGTAAAAGTGCAATATAAATTATTATGTTTTCGGCTCACTAACGTAATTATTAGACGAGTAGCTCGACAGTCAGACAGTAACAGCGCGAAGGTCGCCGCGTCACAAGTCGCGGAATGCTGCTCATGAATATGAGCCTCTAGCATGGCTTGAAACTAGTCGAGTTCCTCGTCAAATTATTACGTGAGTAAGCCGAATACATAATAACTTATATAGATTATAGTTATTTCTTGATAGGTTTCCTATTTGTTTCCCACATAACGTAATAGTATTTGACCCATTGCAATCTAGAAGGCATATGAGGTCCAAATATACAATGTAACACCCCCCCCCTTATTAAACAGTTATGTTATGAGTCTTTTATAATAGGGGGTGAGCCTTTTGTCATATCTTTTCAACAATTCATTTAGATAGTATCGTAAAATTGGACTAGGTAAAATCTCCCTATTGACACAACATCAAAATAATTTAAAATATCACAATAAAATTTTTAATAAATTAATCACAATCACTGAGATCCCTTTTTGAGATATTTTTTTAAAAATAGTTTTTTTTTTAATTGGCACTGTTGCATAATTTAAGCAGCCTTAAATATTAATTTACGTAAATATCTTAATGTAGATAATAACTTTATAAAACAAGTCTTCGAAAATCATCTAAAAATTTAAGTTGAGACCAATTTTTTATGAGGATCGATTTAAATAATACTATTTTTGTCACAATTTTTAAATAAAATAGATAAATTCTGAGCAATTAAATTTCAAACTTATCACATACAGAATAAAGTTGTTATTCCCTTAACCACATAAAAATTGAAATAAATATATAACAATTAATTCAAAAAATCGTACATGATTGAGTACTTACTCACTGAGGGTCAAAAGACCGTTTTTAATCTAAAATTGGGCCATTTCGCTTAAAAACCTATGTCAGTTAAATTAATTCTAATTTCAACCTTATTGCTTTGTTCTTAAGACTACGTTTAGGTTAGTATTACAACACACAAACTAAGTATTAGTGGAATGAATTGGGAACCAATGATTACAGAACACAATATATCGATGTTTGACTAAATATTTTCACCACGCTAAATGGGACTTTAAAATCATAGCATCGAAGTATAATATGCAATATCAGATCACAATTGGGATAAAACATTATTTATTAATGCAATATTGAACTTTAAATTCATAGTGTTCAAGTATAAGATCCAATAGTAAGATATATTTAGTTAAAACATCGTCAATTAGTCACAATACCAACACACATGTGAAATCACTAATATTATTTACACTACACCACAGATTATACCAAGAATGAAGTGCTATACCACAGATTATAAAACAATGAAGTTATTATACAACCAAAGAGTATGTAAGTACATGAATACAATTATGCGATTATAGCCAATCACAGTCGACATTTAAACTTTAAATAATGTCATTATTTTTATATCCCAAAAGGCGAAGAGGTAGAGGTTCTCTTAATGAATATGCCTGTCATGTTTTACTACTTTTTAAATCCCAAGTATAAGGATTGCTTCTATTAGCAAACTCTAGACTAATACTGTGAACTTTCTATTTTTATGCCAGCTGTGATATAGATAATGGAAAATGAATATAAGAATGAAACTTTAAGGATTTTGAGGTATTATAACATTTAGATTGTCATGTTTGTTCGGATTCTAATGATCCAATGATGTTATAAGTAAAGAGGTTATAAATAGATAGGTTAACTAACCAACATTCGATCTTCAAAACGGCAAACTAATACACACACGAATACGTTGACAGTCCAACGCAAGTCTGAGATAAATTCACACTTTAATGTGCTACTTTCTGAGTGTTTATAACCTGTCTACCTTCTTTCTCAAAAAATCATTGCTAATGATCAATGTATGAATGGCTATGCTTAATTTTCACACCCAAAGTGATTAGAAATTATTGTCGGTTTATGTACAGTGGGACTTACACTAATGCCTTGTTCGTACTATGCTAGTATTTTAGTCGAGCAGCGAATGTTTAGTATATCTCTCTCGCTTCTGTCCCAAAATCGAAGCGAGCAAGTTACTAAAAGTATTTAGTACTTAACTAAAATACTAGCAAAGTGCAAGGCATAACATGTAGTGATAGGCTAGTTGACTATAATTTTAATAAAAAATTAAGTAATCTTTTTAACGACAATTATTTCTACATTATTTTATAAGATTGGTTACTAGATGTAAAGTACAATTTTGATCTAAAATTATAGTCACCTAGACTGTGTCATGTATAGGAAAATTGGATTTTATATTTTCAGTTCCTACAAACCCATAATTTATTTCAAAATAATTTTTAATTCAGGAATTGGTTCAAAATATTTAGAAGTATACCAATGTTACATTAATAGTTTAAATGTAAAGTTCATTAGTTTACCTTTTTTTTGTCAGACAAAGATGCAGCTTAACCGACTATAATATATTAGGTCTTTACCTATAAAATTGGATATTAGATAACTTCTGCAATACTTCAAATCAAAATAATTCTTACTGCCTTTAATTTTATATGTCAAATTACCTATCAATTAACTCTAACAGAAACTTAATCTGGCTTCTGACGATATATCTTTAGCCACAAGCCATATTAAATTTTTTGTTGATATAACCCGATTTTCCTATAACCAATATTAATTGTTAGTTACAATAATGACAGTTGAACATAGATCGTTAACACAGGCAGCATGCAATTTGACGGGCACAAAAAAGCATTATACGTCTTTTTTGATAACATGGGCAAGAATACATAGGCAACAGCTACATTAGTATTATTATAAGCACGAGGCATTGTTAGAAAGAGACAACACTACATAGAATTGACGTCACACTACATAATATCTTCTATTTCTTTTGTGCGATAAGGACGGAGTATAATTTTGAACGATTTCATCATATCTTAGTAAATAAATAATTTACATATCCATTTGTACTAAACAACTCTTTTCATATAAATAGTATTTAATAATATATGTATTTGTTATGTATCTATGTGTCAGATAACAATTTTTAATGCTATAATTCTGCACAAAAAAGTTTTCCTTACATTTCTATAACATAAAACTATGATTTTAATTCACTAAAGAGATAAGTTAGATCTGAAACTCTTTGCTTCGCAGTTGTCTTATCTGATTTTACCTTAACATTCCTTGCGCAATAAAAAAATTTTGCGCATCTGAGATAATTATTGCGCAAAAATTTTTTTATACAAAATTTGGCCTATCTCGGCTTATATTGTCCAGGCTTAAGTATATTATAACAGGTAAGCCGTTACGCACTGCACACAAATTTAGCGCAAGTATTACATTAATGCGCAAACATTGAACATTAACAGCAATCTACTAATAGATCTACAATCGTTAACGCTATAGGAAACAAAACAAATAGATGTAGATTTACTCTTTATGCGAATGTCAACCGACTAAGGAATTACAAATTTTACAGTCTAGATAGCAACGGTTTCTTATAAACCTGAACTTTTGAACTATAATCTCCAATCCGCTAGCCAAGCGTAGAGATTATAGCAATCCCTCTTTTATAGAGGAATGCCCAAGGGTTTTTGATGTCGGTGTGGGACCCAAATACATTTTCTACGACATAGCAGTAACGATTATAGCTTAATGATTTCTTAACCAAATTTATTTAAACACGGCCGTCAAATTGCAATCTACCTTCACCATAAGTTTCAAGCTTCAACAAGAGCTACAAGCAACAGATTGACGACCAACACCGAGAAGTGAGCGAATGTTGTTACTGCGGCGTTGTCATGGTAACGGAGCTGCGACTTACCCGCCATCAGAGAGCGAGGGCGCCGGTGGACTGTCATGTTCAGGGAGATCGGAGATGACTGGTCGTCTGGGATGGTTATTGTTGTGTATGGAGGTATTGAGTAGCTGAGAACAACAAAAAAAGATATTGATACGGTTTGCACAAGATAGATTAGTATTCAGGTTAGCTCGATTATTTTCGAATCACACCGGGGCTCTTAATCATTTAACGAGATCTCATGGCAAGAATTTTATGTGTGATGTGATCTGGTCTGCCACAGTCACACATAAAGCTCAAAAATTATATTATCTTTCAGTTTATTTGTCCTTCAAGGGATGGACTAAGGTATTGTATGGGCAAGTAACTCACCCAGAGGCAACAGCAGTGATGTTGTATTGTCCAGGTAGCAACATGCGCCAGTAGTAGCCTTGCTCTGTAGTGCGGACTGTATGCTCGTTGCCCTCTATTCTGATTTGGGCGTTCTGAAAATATAGATATAACGTTTTACGTCACATTTCACTATTTTAAAAATGGTCCAATACACTAGTATTGTATTGTCTTCTATATAGTATTGTATTGTTTAGAAACACAAATTGATTACAAAAACATTACAGATTACAGTTCAAGCTCAGATCAACAATTTCCTGGATCATACAAGGAATGTTGAGTTCACGCCTGTACAAAAGACTGTCGCCTAGGCGCCCAACGTGTAGACAAATCAAAAATTTTGTTTTTATTTTTGGATATGGAGTCAAACGGGCAGACTAATCACCCAATGGTAATGAATGTATGGTAACGAGTACGCTATCGCCGCTTTGATGGGCCAATGAACCACCTAATCAGAGCGCCGAACGCAGTGTCGTTTCTATTTCTTTTAACGCAAAACAAACTCGTACTAAGGCCTATAATCAACACGTATAAATATTTATAAGACAATGAATAAAGTCTACCTTAGAACAATAAGGCTAAGAACTACTTTACCTTGACCGATTCCATCTACGACAATTTCCGTGACACCTAATTGGGCTTTTTCTATGAAGGACAGCAAGGAGTCCTTGTCCAGCTCCTAGTACTTGGGCATTTCGGAAGCTGGTGGGTATTTGCAGCAGGACAACTCGAAAATCGACCAAATGTAGTAGACAATAAGAGCCAATTTACCTTGACCGGTTCTCCGGCTTCATCCACGACAATTCCGGTGACTCCTATATTGGCTTGTTCTATGAAGGATAGTAAAGAGTCCTTGTTCAGCTCCCAGTACTTGGGCATTTCGGAAGCTGGTGGGTATTTGCAGCAGGACAGCTCGAAGGTCACTTCAAAGCAGTTTGAATGCACATAGTTGAAGTCTTGCATGCCACCTGTAAATTATATTGCGAATTAATTGCGTGTTTGACCTGGATTGTAGAGTGGTACTGCGTTGATTTGTATGTGGAAGATTTTGGTCTTTTGTTGAGTTGATCTCTGTCTTTGTTTGGCTAGAACATGAAAGTTTATAGGATGAATTGCTTAAATTAAATATTTCATTCAAGTAAAGTCCAGGAGTGAAAAATTGTCTGAGCTCTCAATGATTTCTCAAATAATATGTAAGAATATTTTACCAAAAATATACTCGACAGCTCAGTTCGAAAGAGAAATCTGAACTCCGAAAGTCCCAGCTCGCATTGTTTTTCAAACATAATATAATTTTACAAACCATCAAATATACTAATAACATAAATTATGACTGCGTCGTTGGCCGAGTGGTCGCAAGTGCGTTTGCTGGGCAAGGGGTCTCGGGTTCGAATTACGGGGCGGGCAAAGTATTACTGGGTTTTTAAAAAGCCTCAGTAGTAGCACGGAGTCCTGAAATGTGCCCGGTATATGGCAAATAGGCCCACCCTCTATTACATGGGCCTCATAACATAAATAGTGAAAAGTGGGTGTTACTTCTGTGTGTACCTCTGCCTACCCCTTCGTGTATTCTGTTGTAATTCTGTTTTCTGTATTCTGTTTGAGTATTCTGTTATCAATTATAACGGTTGTATTGTGTTAATAGATGGTACTACTAACCTTGTACAGAATACCAGTGCGCTCCATTAGTGAGTCCACCATCGAAGTGCTCGGGAGGACATGTGTCCCCCGCCCTCATCTCTGCGTTACGGGACGCGTATACATTAGCCAGGTGCTTGAATAAAGAGTCGTCGGGGGACCGACTTTCTTCGCAGCATTCTTTGCCCGTACTGGAATATTAAGTACGTAAAAAGATTAAGTTTATGTTAATGTATCTTATATCTTAATTCTCTTTCAATTATATTTATAGAGGCTGCAGATGAGATGGGTGTTCATTTTTAGTGTTTAAAAGTACTTTCAGTTTCAAAAAGCAAGCGTGTTGTTGTATACGACAACACAACATACACATATTCAACCGATAGCTTCGAAAGTTCGAACTGTTGGAAGACAACAAATCTCACATCAGATTTGAACAATAAAGTTGTTTTACGTCTACTGGGATGTAATAGAGTAATAGGTGAATACTAGATGATGAAAAAAGGGTATTCAGCCTTATTAGACGAAAATTTCATCGCTGGGGAAAGTAAAAGCTACTAAAGATTAGTACAAATAACAAACCTGGAGTCATCATAAGGGTAACTAGCCACAACAGCGCCACCATGCAGGTTCCCTGACAACACAAACTGCTTGCCGGTAACCCATCGCATTAACGCCACGGTCTCCGGTTGCCGACCACCGAACATGTACTCCTCATCATTAGATTTGTGCTTGTCAAACTGGTCGGGAAAGTCTCTGTTTAGATCCACACCTTTAGCGTTATTCCGGCCTTTATACTCTTTTAGGGATTCGCAGTTACTCTCCTGTGAATAAAGGAAATAAGGTCTTTACTGTTGGAAAATCAGCGGTTACAAGGGAGGTCCTGCCGGGGTCGCGGGTAGATTGCCAATAGGTACCGTGGGTACTGCTTGTAGTAGGAATTGGAACGGGGTGGTTTTTATCTAAAACTCCCCGTCTTACTTAGGGTGCCGGGCGAAGGTAATTTCATGATTTTGCATTCTTACAAGAAAAAGTTACATAGAAACTGCAAACTAATCGTATTGTTTAAAATAGACATCCTATGAGAATGTTTCTGTTTGATTAGTAGCAATAGGGTCACATAGTATTCGTTTTACTAACATAATAAACGCATAGGGTTCCCACATTCCTATTAACCGAATGTTTACTAACATTAGTTAACTATTTTCATATATTTTGTCACAATGTTATCTAATAACATATGCCGGAATACTGAAACGTTACTCAATTTTAAGTCGTGCTCAAATATCGTGCCATCTCTGTCATTTTACAAATTATTTGTAGAGATAGAACTATACTTAAGCACGACTTAAAATTGAGTAGCGTTTCAGTATTCCAACAATAGTGATTCAAACAGTAGTGTAGTTTGACTAGTGTGGGAGCACCCTTAAGCCCTTTTCACACACTTCGGTTATCCGGTGGAACACAATAAATGACAGGAAACGTGTAGAAACTAACATCTATATATTATATAAGCTTCGCCCCCGGGTATCCGGCACTAGCCATTCTGAAACCGGAGCGTGTGAAATGGCTATCACATTGACTTTAGCGAAATATCACCAGTGTTATTAAAAAAATGAACCTAATTAGTTATGTTTAATCTGCGGATGTGAGCGCTTTGTGCTCCTAAATTGTCAATTGCACAATGTTTATACAATTTAAATCAATATTTAATTTTATAGTTACAGACTTAGGTAGTTACTGTTCTTTATTGAAGTAAGAAACGTAATAATTCTCGTTGAATAGTTATTGTTGCGTTTAAAAAATTTTCAGAAACACAGATATAGAAGGATCCTAATAGAACAGAATGGTAGTCAGACCTATTGGTCCCATAAAAATAATGTACAATATAGTTAATCAAACTCCTAATCTCCAAAAGGCCGGTAACGCATTGTAACGCCTCTGGTGTTGCGGGTGTCCATGGGCGACGCCGATTCCTTACCATCAGGTGATTCGTCTGCTCGTTTACCGGCTATTGCAAAAAAAAGTTATTATGCGGTATTCACTATTTCCAAGATAGCTTAATTTCTTGTTTATTAAAATATAAAGTTATAACCTACTAATAAAGCGAATGTTTGTATGTATGTTACTCGTTTACGGCTGAAGCGATCGGGATGAAATATGGAACAGGATTATGGTTTGGAATAGACCATAGGCTACTTATATTTAGTACTATAGAATAGGACATGGGCTATGATCTATCCCACTAGAACGCGAGGGAAGCCGCAGGCAGAAGCTAATTAAACCTGATTTAGCTACAAAAATCAAAATTAGGTACAGACCTCCTAGAATATTAATTATTTCATTATTTTCCAGTTAAAAGCGTAGATTATACGTTTAAACCGTTTTGTTTTCAGCACTGAATCGAATGAAATAATTTACACACAGAAATATCGTGATCGCTGGCAATAAGTTAGTCACGGAATCACAGAGGTACAAATAATGTTCACGTGGCATCCACAAACTGGCCAGTTTATGTAGGAATTGTATTAAAACTAGGTACAGTTGAAACTAAAATTGATATTTTATTGCTTGAATTGTATAACCAACATTGGCTCACTTTGACACAGATTATAACTGGCAGGCCACCATCTAGTGTTATATTTTTAGTAAATTTTTCATTATTTTCTGGCAATAATTTTTCAAGACAGAATTATCAAACGTAGCAGTCATTTTCGAGTTTTAAACTTAATGTTTTCAGTTTTAAGGATCATAATCGACTATTTCACGAGTTTAGACTTAATTTTGTAATGTCGTGCGAACTTGGAAAATTCAGTTAGTGTCATGTACATACATGGCAATTATAATTGTTTGTTTAAAGTACATCAGTGACATCCTATTTACTGATATTAACCTACATACCATTCAATTGACTGCGACTACAAAATCAAGACGTCAATATCGACCTCGATGGTCCGTAAAACACAGTCATAATAAAACACAGTTCGAAAATGGAGAATATTACATAACATAACACGTCACGTCATTTACTCCGAAGGGGTAGGCAGAGGTGCACATTATGCCACAATACAATGTAACACCCACTTTTCACTATTTATGTTATGAGTCCCATGTAATAGGGGGTGAGCCTATTGCCATATACCGGGCACAATTCCAGACTCCGTGCTACTACTAAGAATATTGTAAAAAACCCTGTTATACTTTTCCCGACCCGGGTATCGAACCCGAGACCCCCTTGCCCGGCAGTCGCTCTTGCGACCACTCGGCCAACGAGACAGTCAACCATATAAATTGGTCCTATGATGAATAATATCTAAGATTATTCTAATCTTCAGATTATTATTTCTATAATTACACATTTTTAGTAAAAAGCTTGATGAATATAGATGCAGCAGGTTTCTTGTTTGATAGGAGCATTCGCAAATAGTTTCACACGCTAGGTTCTGTTGACAACTATCCGGGCAGTTCTAAAGAGGTCTTAAAATTATAGATCCACAGCCAGTCAGAGCTACAAACAACATAAAAGTTGAAGTCTTCACGTCAAGATTTTGTGTAATCTGTTGACAAAATTGTGGAATTTTATGAATTTGACCTATGAATCATTTACCTACTTAATTTTTCATTCCTTATTAAATATTTGGATGTCGATGCTAATAAAACTTCTCAAAATGCATTTATACACAAATAGTGCACAATACTTGACCAAAGATACGAATGCATCACCTTACAAATATGTATTATGAATAGTTAGTTACTTACAGAGACAAGCGTGTCACTTATTCCAGTTTATGAAATAAGGAAGAAGTTACGAAAACGCAATTGACGTTGACGTAGGTAGCATTTGAAACTATATTAGGATCTCAACTGCATTGAGTTTATGATTCATTTTAGACGCTATTTCTGGAGTTTGTTACGATGTTTGATACTGCAGAAATCATTAAAATATTGTTTTTTTTTAACGAGGAAATCATCGTATGTCTTCTACCGCCTGGGTGAGGCGGGAGGGAGTGTCAGACTCTTACTGACTAAAAACCACCCCGTTCCTTCTCCTGCACTTCGAGCCGGAGCCTCGGCAACCCGTTAAGTTCTCCGCGGCATTAAAATATGGATGGATGGACTTCTTGTCCATAAGAGAGGTATGTATGAGGCCTTAAGTACGAGTACGCGTTCAGCGCTCTGATTGGCCGGCTCCAACGAACCAGCCAATCAGAGCTTCGGATGCGGTAACGTTTCGATCTCGTTAAACGCAAAATAAATTCGTACTAAGCCCGCTGTTTGTTTGGCAGATGTTAAGGTTTACCAGAGTGTTGTTGTCCAGTCTCTGTCTCTGTCAAATGAATAGTCCTTTAGATTCGACGGTTCTCCACCCGCGGGAAGAGTAGGAAGAGCAGTGGTCTTTACGTGCTGTAATGTGCACCTCTGCCTACCCCTTCGGAGATAAAAGGCATATTAAAAAGTCTATTCTGCCGTCCCCATCGTCACATGGCAATAGAAGTGCTGACAAAGCAAAAATATTTTTATTGAAGCTTTTCAATACAGGTCATTCCGAAGGTCAATTTTCTACATGACCATTAATTAGCACATAAGTGGACATGAATACAAATTGAAGAGGCCAGTTACTGTTATCATTATGAATACATCACGTGACATTTCTACATAGTCACAACTCTACAAAGAATCAATATGACTAATTAAAGATATCTATATAAACACAATTAACTGATTCTCATCACGTTCAATAACAGCTTCTATTGCAGAAGCATTTAAGGTTTGATTTAGTTTTTCTTACTAAGTGGAAAGTTTCAGTGTTTATGTACTTGTATATTGCAGTTTATTTATCAGTTCATGTCAATGACCTATTGGACGTGCAGTTGCAATAATAATTCCCTTGAACCTATGTGCATTGATGAGATAAAACACTTCATACATAACTGTGTAGGATATTATAACTTTCGTGAGACATACTAAATTAATTATTATATTTTTCAGCATACTCACGTAATTATTTGACGAGCAACTCATCAACGTCAACTCGTGAGTACTCACTCACTAGCAATGCGACAACCGCCTTGTCCTCTGTGTCGCGGAATGGTGCTCATGAATATGAGCCTCTAGCATGACTTGAAACTAGTCTAGTTCCTCGTCAAATAATTTGGGAGTCAGCCGAAAAAATTAAAACGTAATAATATTTAAATACTAGCTTTTACCCGCGGCTTCGCTCGCGTCGCAAAAGGATAAAAAGTAGCCTATGTGACATATACACACAGCGCCATCTATACCAATGATTTCGTTTTTCCTCGAGAATATCAAATTTTTCCGGGATAAGGGATTCTGATTTTACGTTGACTTTACGTCTGCAAAAATTCAAAGCAATCGGCTTAGTAGTTACGGCGTGAAAGCGGAACAAACAAACAAACTCACTTTCCGATTTATAATATTATAGTAAGGATTTACGTCATCAATACATAGTATAAAACAAAGTCGCTTTCGCTGTATGTCCGTATGTATGCTTAGATCTTTAAAACTACGCAACGGATTTTGATGCGGTTTTTTTTAATAGATAGAGTGATTCTTAAGGAAGGTTTGTATGTATAATACATGCATATTGCACCCGTGCGAAGCCGGGGCGAGTCGCTAGTAAGTTGTATAATATGTCAACTAATAAGCAGTCTATTTCTCGCGAATTTATAAGTTTAGTTAACAAATGCAAATAATTTGCAATATGTATGAGCATTTGTTTTTAATGTCATCGATATCTGAGTCGATCAGGGGCATTGGGAATTTCGACTAGTTTAAATTTTTAGTAATAGCATTTGGGTCTGGA